ATTTTGTCAGTAATATATACGCTGAACAGAATACTTCCATTTTAAAATGCAGGACCGAAACTCGAGAACATTCAGTTGTAGTAATATCGGCAAAATTAAATGACAATCATCCGCATTAGCAGTAGGTGTAAGCAAGGCGCTGGTTTGGCACCGTAGAGCTGTTCTGTCCAGACAAGCGATATTTTCCAAGCAAATATACATATAGTCTTTGCTTAAATGTCTTCGTGGAAACCACCATTATTACGTCCTCGGGAAGCCCGTTTCAGGCACCGACGACTCGCTGTGAAAAAGAGTATCTGAGAACGTCCAGGCGGCATCAGGATCCTCTAAGTTTTAGAGAGTTCCCACGCAGGTTTGTTGTTGTGGCCAACGTGGGGAAATCATCGAGGTATAGGACACAGTCCCGGTTCCTCAAAATCCGATATGCCTGTATGAGATCTCCTCGAATCTGCCTGTACTCCAGAGGAAATCAGTTAAGCTCATCAAGTCTGCAGTTCTAAGGTAAAGTCTTGAGGAGTTTCACAATTTTGGTCGCTCTCCTCTGAACTCTTTCCGGTAACTTATAGTCTTTTTTCAGCCACGGGCTCCACGCTTGTATTCCATATTCCAGATGCGAACTAATGAGCGCTCTGTATACTTTTCCAACTAACTCTTTGTCTATGTCTACGAAAGTTTGTTTAATGGCAAAGAGAACACTGGTTGCCCTTTAGGCCGCCCTAACGCAACGAGAGGAAGGCTTAGGAGTCGACAAAATGCTGATCTCAAGATCTTTTTGTTCCGTCTTATTTGCAAGGCACCTTCCACCAAGCAGGTAATGGCGATCCTCTCCATCGGCTCTTCCATCAGCTTTCAGTCGCAGCGTGACGTACTTCTCAAGGTTAAACTTCAGCAGCCATTTGTCCGACCATTCGCATACGCGGTTCAGTCCGTATTGCAGGGTACGACTATAATTTTTCCCGTTGATCGCTCGCCATAACTTGATGTCATCGGCAAACATGACTCCATTGCAGTCCAGTCCATTTATACAGTCGTTGAAATAAATTAAAAACAATACTGGCCTGAGCAGAGAGCCTGGGGAACTCCACTCACAACTGGCACTGGCGTTGATTTCGCACTACCAATGCACACAGACTGTGATCGACCAGTCAGAAAGTTGTTTACTGAGTTTAATAGGTCTCTCCTTATCCCTGACTCTCGGGCCATGTAAAGTAATCGGTGATGTAGAACATTATCAAAGGCTTTCTTGAAATCGATGTAAACGATATCGACCATTGTTCCTTCGTCTAACGAGCGAGACCACTGTTCCGTTGAATAGAGCATATTTGCTAAGCAGGAGTGATTTCGTCGAAAGCCATGTTGGGAACTAGCAATGAAATTATTTTCGTCGGGGAACTTCATTATGGCTCTTTTGACTACTCTCACCACGACTTTGTCACAAATGCACGTTAGACTCACATGCCGCTAATTGTTTGTACTTGTTCCAGAGCCACCCTTATGAATGGGGTATATATTCGCCACATTGCAACCAGAGAGGAGAATACCTCGGTCGAAGGACGACTGGAAAATATGCGAAAGCTGTCTGGCGAATTCGTAATCCAACACCTTCAGAACTGTTGTCGGTATTTAGTCTGGACCCGGAGGCTTACCCTCCTTAAGCGCTAGAAGTTCCTTCCTCACACCTTCCGCGAAGTCGATGTTTTCTATTATTTCGCCAGTTGTTCCAGTAGGCAATTCGGCCTCGTCAAAGTCCGCCTAATCGGGGAAAAGAGATGCGAAAAACCGGCTAAGATGTTCTGCATTAGCGTCATTTTCGATGATATCCTCAATGTTTTCTCCTTTCAACACTAAGACCGTCTCCTTGTTCTTTAACTTACTGTTGGTGTAACTGAAGAGCTCCTTTGGCCTATCAACGGCCTGTTCCATAACTCGAGTTTTTATACTACCTCCGCGACCTGCGGATATCCTACCTTACCTCGTTTCGCTTTCGACGAAACCGCTCGCAATGAGGTGATTGTTTTGTTGTTGCATACATTCTCTATAGTTTATTCTTCCGGTTTACTTCTTTCTTTATATCCCGCTTCATCCAGGCAGGACGATTATTCTTTATGGTTCTCTTTATCGAACATTTTTGATGCATGATGTCGGTTACAACGCCCTTGAGAGTGTTCCAATCAATGTCTGGATGTCCGGAAAGAACAGCATCCCAGTCCACTGTCGATAATTCCCTGCTCATGGCGGCAAAATCTCCCCGCCAGAAATCAGCTAAGGCCCAGTTGTATTCACTTGTTGGCTGCATAGGCGGCATTACCAAGGCAGCATGATATGGTCACTCTTACCGAGCGGTGCTATGGACCTACAGTTCGTGACCTACCTCATGAAATGTTGGCTGAAATTCTGAAATGCGTTTTCGATTAGGAAGGATTACTTGGTCGCGGTTGTGATACTGATTATCTTAAGGCATACTCTTATAACATTTTGGACTCGGCAGGATGTAGGCTTTTAAAAGCACTTCTTTTCAATCTCCTGTAGAAAGCGTGCTCGGTAAAAAAGGATTACTTAAGTAGCATGCATTTTTCCCATTGATTTTCGATGGTCTTGGAATTTCAAATATGTTTTATAGAAACCACAAACAAAAATATGCTTTCTTTTAGTCAATCAATAGAGAATCACGTCTTCTTTATGTTTTATACTTTAGGAAGGAGTATAATTAGGTTTTAAAAAAGTTTTCTAATTGCCGAATAATTTGGAGCCTGATCATTCGTTGCATTAGCGCTTAGTGATTACAATCTACAAGGCGCATGCGTTCCGCGTAAAGAGAATCCCATATTTTTCAATGTCATTAAAGAGATATCATACAGGGTCCATAAAATTTTGCAATGGATGCGGACCATGTTGTACATTTCATGAGGAGCAGTGGTAACCGGCCAGGGACGATATTATGTGAATGGACATATCGCGGTCTTTAAAAGTCTCATAATTAGAAACTTTTTTAAAACCTAATTATACTCCTTCCTTAAGTATAAAATATAAAGAAGACGTGATTCTCTATTGATTGACTAAAAGAAAGCATATTTTTGTTTATGGTTTCTATAAAATATTTTCGAATTTGTAAGACCATCGAAAATCAAAGGGAAAATGCATGCTACTTAAGTAGTCCTTTTTTACCGAGCACGCTTTCTACAGGAGATTGAAAAAAAGTGCATTTGAAACCTACATCCTGCCGAGTCCAAAATTTTATAAGAGTATGCCTAAAGATAACCAGTATCACAACCGCGACCAAGTAATCCTTCCTAATCGAAAACGCATTTCAGAATTTCAGTCAACATCTCTTGAGATAGGTCACGCACTGTAAGTTAGCCAGAGCTAATTGGATCTTTTGTAAGGACGAGGTCCAGACAATTTGCTCTTTGATCCTCTTTGATACTGGTTGGGAACGAGACATTTTGCACCAAAACTAGATTTGTCGCATGAAATCAACGGAATTTCACGAACCATTTACCAATAAATTGCTCCAGTCGACCATCGGTGCGTTGAAGTCTCCGGTTATAAGCATCTCTTGGTTTTCTGGCAGCTCTTTAATTAACCCCAACATCGCCTCATCAAACTCAGGAGTTTGATTAGGCGGCCTGTTGTGTACGGTCAAAAAATTCGGATTAGGTGCGCCACACATCCTCAGTTTTAGCCACATTGCTTTACAGTCGCGAGAGCAATCAGTTTTGTGTTCTGACGTGATGATTCCTCTGTTGACGTAGACCGATAGTCCCCCTCCTTTTTTATTCAGTCTGTCCCAGGGAAAAATTCGGTACTCATCAAGTGTAATTTCGGTATCCAAGACTTTGGTCTGGAACCATGTCTCTGTGATAGAAATGACATGCGGCTACGTATCTGATATCCACAATTTCAGATCATCTAGTTTCTGGAACAAACTGTGGTCATTTGCATAAAAAAAGCGGAGCTTAGCTTGGGCAGATTCCTGAACGATTTTTGGGTCGAAGTTGCTAGATATTTCTTGTGAGTTTTCAGGTATATCGTCCCCTTCCGAGTCTACTGTTGTTTGGTTGAACTGGATGTCAGTGTGTTGGCCGTCGCCGTCTATGTTCGGTTTGGCATACAGGAGAGTCCTTTACTTATTATCTGGCTGTTCATTATGTTCAGTATTATTGGTTGTCTCCAGAGGAATGAGCTCCGAATATTTACGATTTTCCCATTCAATATTCTTAGGTTTTTCTCGCCGGAATTATATCTTCTGAGGGGTTCGGCCTTGAGTTTCCTCCATTTCTCTCGCACGGCCGGCGAGAAATCCCACTGAAAATAAAATTTGATTGGGCATCTCGCAGTTCTAGTTACCTGTTCCGCAGTA